TGCAGTATCAGTTTGTATAGTATTTGTTGACTTTGTATTGCAGGCACCAAAGTTGCCTTATTGAGAGTATTCAATAATTGAAAATATTCAAAATCGTAATGGGGAAACATATTTTGCTGGATTCGTTGCTGTTCAGTGACAAAATACATCAAAAAAGACGGGCACACATTTTTCAAGTTAAGTGATAATATTGGTTATATATACATGTGTAGCTATCTGATCTTTTTAAGCTTTCAGCAACATTATCCAATTCTTATAGCTACCTTAATCGCTGATCCTTAAATACCAAATAATTAATAACTTGTGTCAATGGAATCAACTCTGAGTTTCATGAAGGCATGAAAATATTATATGTAAGTTAATATGATTAAAAATATTTATTAAAGATTTACCCTTGAAGATCCTAACACTTCAGTCAAATAAAACAAGTCTTTGTTAACGACGCAGTCCCCATTGCAATTAGGGAAAATGTTATTCATGCCTAAAATAAGGTAATATGGCCAAAAAGCGAGATGACTGCAAGTCAACATCTCCAGTGTCATAAGCAAGTGTCCGCTTATTTGTTAGGGCGTTACCTAAAGACACTCTTTCTAAAAATATTTTCATTAAAATTAAAGCACTTTAAAATTTAATGAAAATGAAGCATAAACATGTATGTGTAACATCAAGTGAATAACATACATTGCATCTTTAGGAAGTCATTAACTTGATGTGTCATTTAAAATTCATCTCATATTTCATATTCTTTATTTTCTGTCCATGGGTAAGAAAGAGTAAACAATCTTTGATCCAATCCTAAAAAAATCATCCTCATCAAGCCGGATGGCTATTTTTTATCAAATCACAAAACAAACATTTATCTATTAATGGCACATGTGCTAAATATCAATGAAAATGGTACATACTTATTAGGTGAAAGAAATATTATACATGTAGTACTGTAAAAGCTGTATTAAAAGCAGTGGCTTCTATTAAAATAGTACAATGCAATAGAGGTGATGCGGCTTCTATTAGAGCATCTACACATATGAGGAATGGTGAATTTTTGGATCTCAATTGTTCAAAAGGAATGTGTTCGGCTTCTAATACAGATGGACATTTATCCTAACATAGGTAATTTGAAGAAAAAAAAAGAATGTCTAAGATACAGTTTCAAAACATAGTTGAACTCTGGTTACCTTGCCCTTTGTTATATAATATTATTCCATTTGTCATACCGTATAATACCTCATACAAGCGCCACTTTGATACATTTCCATTTTTGTCTGGTGCTAATTTGAGGTCACATTTTGGCAACTTTGTTGCAATTGGCGCTTAATTGAGGTCAGTCATTTTTTCACACACTCAGAACTACAGTAACGTAACCTTACAATCAGAGGGATCCTGTCTATACAATGTACCGGATTCTGCCATAAATTCGCCCTTGGCCATTAAACGGCAGTTTGGTTTTTAAAATAAAATGAGACCAAGAAATCACGTTTTTTTAAATATTTTGGTTTCATTTTTCGAACCTTTAAATCATTCTGGACGCCTATTCAAGAGTATTTTTTATCGTGACTAACATGAATGGGTAAGCTTCGTTTCGACAATGAGCTGTTATCACTGTAAACAATGTTAAATCTTTCTTCAAATGCTCAGTTTATCTTTCCAAAACAAATAATTTCTTGATTTTAAAAAACAATCATGCCGTTTTCCCATGAAAATCTAAGTCAAAAGATCACACTACATTATCGGTACGTCTCTTCTGTGTTGCGTTCACCATGAGGTCGCTGAACTGTCATTAACATATTAAATGAGCTATGGTAATTCAGACACATGGGCACCATCCAGCATTTTGATTGGTTAATTAGCGACTTGACCTATCCGGTTAATAAACACGTGTCGTGTGCATTCAAAGACATGGCGGATATCGTATCGTATCGGCCGTTTGCATGTGACTGAAATCATTTGTCGGCCAGATGGGAAAATCCACTGGCGCTGATTTCACAGTTTTACCCAAACATTCAACTTTGACTGGCGCCTATTTGGTGTGAAAATTATCACCTTTTCTATTGTACTGGCGCCTATTATTATAATCATTGTGTGACTAGTGTATTATTATTCGAAAAGTCAAAAAACGCCCTCTTGGAATAACTATCATGCTGCTTTGTATGCAAATCAACTCAAATAGTTATAGTGATTGGAATGCCTGTAAAACATACAGCTAATCAGAATTGACATAGCATATGAAATTAGACAGATGTTGAATTGCCAAACATTTGCAAATTCATGCATTTGTGAAACTCATAATAACTCACCTTTAAGGTGTCAATTAATGTAATATTATCAAAAAATATATCCTCTTGAAGAACATAACTGACTCGTCTTCGAAGTCTTTTGGTCAACTTCTGATTATTTAGCATGATTGTTCCAGATTCCAGGTCGTTTTGTCGGCCTGCTATAGTATTCAATAAAGTTGTTTTACCAGAACCTATAGTAAGTATTAATAGAAACAATATTTAACTTGTAGGAATATTAATATTTAATATTACACACTATGAGTTACATGTATTGCAATGATTTGGAAAAAAAAAACCATTCAAGGCGTGTATCTGGTGGATATGAAATAGGCAGCAGCAGTTTTTACTCATTATACTTGCATAGTAAAAAATATCAGTTTTAGAAAAATCCTCATCATGAAATAAACAAATCCTGGAGAGAAAACAAAGTGTAGTTTTTTTCTGCCAAAATTTGGATGTATTTTTTTTAAAATCTCATTGTTTATTTTTATCTTCAATTGGCAACAATTATGTCAGTTTAAGTTGAAAATACTTCAGATTCAGCGTCTAACAAATATGACCTGCTAAGTAGTACATCTGTATATACCCATCACAATGAAAACAAATTAAAAGCCACAGAAAAAAAAATTTATTCATCACATTTTACGTATGAATATCGTGATGACAATAATTTTTACTTTTCAGTCATTGGCAGTAAAAGTTTGGAAAGGTGAGCCAGGAACCAGTGTGCTATCTAACAGAAATGATTTTGCAGGGATTCTGAGTAAAAATTAAAGCCCTAAAAATAAGTCACCTGGTGGGTTGGTCAGTTTTTAAGAAGAAAATAATCATATGTGACTGTATAAGTGACTTCCCTTTTGAACCTATTTTGTTTATAAAATGTGAATTTCATTTAAAAATTAAACAAGCAGCCTCTCGGCTGAGATAGCTCCGCTGTTAGCAATGCACATTTCAATTAAAGAACAGAAGATATCATTAGAAAATGAACAATATGTATAGTATCAAAGCAATGGGACTTGCTGTTTTCAACAAGAATTCAAAAATATCATTTTTCACCATAAATGATTGTGGTTTTTAACAAGAAGAAAATATCACTTTTTACCAAAAATGATAAAAATATTCATCAAAATTAGAGAATTTAAAATATCATGAACTAAACAAATTTGAGAGTGGTCCTTAGTAGT